CATTAAATACGTATATATTTTAAATAAAATTATTTTAAATACTCCCGACTGCTAACTGGTATGATATTTAAACCAATCGACTGTCATGAGACATTTTGACTGCACGCGGAGCGTTGAGGGGGACAGTGCAACTTTCGGTTAATCATTTACTTCTAGCTTTCGCTGTCCCCCTTATCACACCGCATCGTGCACGGATCAATTCCATTCGGTCGTCATTGGGTATTTGGACTGCACGCGGAGCAGTGATGTGAGGGGGACAGTGTAACTTTCGGTTGAATTTCGAATCGTGTACGTCTTGTTTTTCGCTGTCCCTCTCACAACACCGCACCGCGCATAGTTAATAATTTTGTTTTTATATTCGATTGCGATAACTAATAAAAAATAAATCTGTTGTACTAAAATTGACGCGTTCATATTAGGCCGTTAGTGAAAGCAGCCTTGGGGATTGTTTTGATGTGCAAGGGCGGACGCGAGTCTCACGTCACGATCCCTCTCGTCGCTGTCCCTCTCACAACACCGCACCGCGCATAATATATTACCAGGAAAAATTACCGTTTTTCATTTATTTAATAATTTTGACTTTTTTGTTTTATAATATGCAATCGCGTTAACGAAAAAAAATTAATATGTTGTTATAAATCTGACGTGTCAATATTAGACGGTTAGTGAAAGCAGCCTTGGGGATTGTTATCAAAACAACACATCAAATGGAAGGGCGAATGCGAGTCGCACGTCCCCCCCGCGCCAGGCTCACCGATAAACCGTGCAGTCATCATTTAAATACATATTAAATAAAATTATTATTTTAAATACTACCGACTGCTGACCGATATGACGTACATATATTTAAAACTATCGCAGTACTATCACGAGTTAAATTGTTAATATATTACCACGAAAAGTAACTGATTATTAATTAAAGTGGCTAGTACAAAGTGAATATACAAAAAGTGTACGTAACTTTCGGCCGATTTTCGAATCGCCTCCGCTTTCCGCTGTACCCCTCACCACATATTTAATACATATTAAATACATATATACATATTTGTAATATATATTTTAAATAATAAAATTATTTTAAATACTCCCGACTGTTGACTGGTATAAAAAACATTAAATAAGCTTTGAAAACTTATTTAAAATAAAAATTACCATTTTTATTAAAACATCTGTTTTAAATAACTTAATTTTTTAAAAATGAAAGTGGTAAAGAACGTTTAATCCTTTACAGAATTAAATTTAAAGAGTTAATTACATAACTGGTACTCAGTCCTTCATTTTTTAAATAGTTTTTTATAGGCTATAGTAATTTGACTTTAAATTATTTAAAACAGTGAAATCTAACCAATTAGTATTTTATCGCTTTGAAATGTGATTTGAACAGCACGAATCGTTTAATTAATATGATAATGTAATAATATAATGCACCGAAGATATACCTACGATATCACAATAAATAAAAATATATTGTCCGAAGTCGACACGTTAATTAATACGCCTCCGCCTCGCTTTCGCTATCCCCCTCACCTCACCGCTCCGCGCGTAGAACAATGACATTCGATCATCGTGGAGCATTTGGACTGCACGTGGTGAGATGAGGAGGGGAGGGTTGGGCAAATGCAACTTTCAGCTGATTTTCGAATCGCCTTCGTCTAGCTTTCGCTGTTCCCCTCACCTCACCGCACCGTGCGCAGAACAATAACATTCGACTGTCATGGGACATTTCGACTGCACGCGGAGCGGTGAGAAGGAAAATGCAACTTTTGGCTGATAACATATTGCGGAAATTTTTTAGAAAACTGTAATATGCAAATTGTAATCTGTTTTACTTATATGTATGTATGTTCATTTTGAATTTGCACCTTGAATGATCTATTAGTTACTTTTCGTGGTACATATTCAACATAGAAAATATACTTTATGTATGTTGCAGTTATTTTCTAGAACACTGTAATATTTTTATTGTAATCTGTTTGACTTATATGTAGGTATGTTCATTTTGAATTTGCATCTTGAATAATCTATCATTTACTTTTCGTGGTACATTTTAATATAAAGTGTTCTAGGTAGCACAATGTGTATTCTATATTAGAAGTTCTCTGATAAGGATCCAAACCGAGGATCGAAACGTAAGAAAAATTTTATATTTTCAATAAATCGTATCAACACACATTAACATCCTGTGTACAAGACTCGATTAGGCATTTTTCTATTTCTTTTAAATGATTATCTAATAATAATATATTAACCACGAAAAGTAACTGATATATTATTAATCCTAACATATCATTAAAATGAAAAGGTCAAGCCATGTTCAAAAATAGATCCTCGCAAATTAGAAAACCCAACAAATTTAAACCTTTGAAATTAACCCCAAAAATTTGAATCTTTCTAAACATGAATATAATTATGTTATTTTCTATGTTATGTACCACGAAAAGTAAATCTCGCAAATTAAAAAACCCAAAAAATTTAAACCTTTGAAATTAACCCCAAAAATTTGAATCTTTTTAAACATGAATATACATTATGTTATTTTCTATGTTATGTACCACGAAAAGTAAATGAAAACTACAAAAATTGAACCTATCAAAATTAAAACGATTATCTAACCACAAAATAAAAAACCCAATGAATATCATCCTTTGAAAATTGACCCCAAAAATTTGTACCATTCTAAATTAAAATGATTATCTAATAATGTAACCTAATAATTTAAACCTTTAATACTTTAAATGATATTATCTAATATAATATATTACCACGAAAAGTAACTGATATATTACTAAATCCGCCAGTTCAAAGTGAACGTACATATAACGAATATTTTCTATGTTGAATATGTACCACGAAAAGGAACTGATAGATTATTCAAGATGAAAATTCAAATTGAACATACATATAAGTAAATCAGATTAGAATTTGTATTACAGTTTTCTAGAAAATAACTGCAATATGTTATTCTTAGTGCACAAAATATAAAAGTTGGTTATTGAGATTTAATTTGAAATTTATACTAGACCGTACAATAAAAAATAATTGCTTGTAATTTCAGAGTATCAATTTGTTAATGACTCAAAAAAGAACATGGCGGCCTGCTCTCAAATTTTGATGAGTTTCTCGATGTCAAAAGTAATGTCAAAACTAAACTCGCTTCGCTCGTGCTTCCGC